CTGTCTCAAAAAAAAAAAAAAAAAAAGGAGTAGCAAGTAGCAGTTCAGTGTGGCTAAGGCCAAGGCTGTCTGGAGAATAAGGGGACGGGGTAAGAACTGAAGCTATAAATACTTGTTAGGGTATACCAGGAAAGGCTCCAGGGAACTCACGAAGAAAATGCAACTTAATTTTTGTCAGAGGTTAGGTTTAAAACATTAGGAATGGTTGAAGCCTACTAAAATTGAGTTCTTTTCCTTCTCAAAGATGGTAGTAATTGTTGATTTTTTGAGAATTGGTGGAATAACCCCGAAGGGCTCCATTATTCCCGTGAAAATCAGTAGTTCTCGTGGTAAGGAAATGTTTTAGGAATTGTTGATAATAGATATGTCAACAACTTCCAATTGCATAATGCCCTTAGAAAGATACAAATCTCTTTTCATGTGTTTTCTTTCATATTCCAGAAATAGTATTGGCAAATGTTCAGAGAAGACAGAAATTTGCCAGAACATATTCTTTAAAACCCCAGCTCACCTCTTTATGGAACCAAACTTAGATGAACCTCTCGCGTGTCACTCAGACTGTATTACTTGACTTTGGTGTCTATCTGCATCGTGTTATGAAGTATATGCATGTTTATGAAAAAAAGAAGAGCTTTTGTTCCTTTCTAGAACTTGCTCAAATACTATAATTTGACCCAAATCATAATTTTGATATTCCAACTTGCTTTTAGTCAAAACTTTACTTCCAGATCTTTGTTAATACTTCCACAAGGGATTAAGAAACTTCACAACATAGGAACTGAAATACTGCACCATTTTAAAAACCATAAATTCATGAATGACACTGAAAATAAAATGTAGTGCTATTTATAGGCCTAAGCTCATCCGTAAAATCAAATCCACCCATCATTCCAGCTAAGACTTTATAGTTAAACAATACAAGTGACAAGATCTTAAAATCTTGGGCAATGCCTTTATTGTTTTAATCAAATCAGATATAAAAATTTAAGCCTGGTCATAGCTGGATGACAGATTTCACCAATGGAATATAGAGACTTTGCTAACTGGTTATTCAGAGCAACCCCCAAATTGATGTTGATTATATTTCAAATTCCAAAGCTTGCTCATACACCCAAATAATTATGCTTTCCCTCTCCCCTGACTACAAACTTACTGAAGGAGAGAAAGTTAATAGTGGGCAAATTTTTCCACAATTTACTGGGTAGGCTTGGTAATGGAAAATAAATGAGGGGCTTTGGTTTACCTCAGTCGGCCAGCCTAGAGAACACAGTAAAAATCTAGAAACAACATTTCATGTTACCAAGGAACAGGATGAAGTTAGTTTGATCATGCATCTCTGGGATACCCTGAGTTTTGTGTCTTTCAGTTATAGTTATTACTGCCAATAGCATCTTGTTATATGGTTCTGGAATAGATTCTATATAGGGTACCTGAAGGTCCTTTCCCTACCCTGCCAACCAAATAGCCAGTGCTATTTTTATATAGAGCCAGGCAGCCTATAATTTCCGTGACTGTTATTTAGAATGAGTTGGCAAGTTCAACCAGATTTTATGAACATCCCCGGCATTGTCAGTAAAGACCAGAAGTTGAGCAAAGTTATTTTTTCTCAGATGGATGAAGACCATTTTTTTAAGCATTAGTATACTATTTTTGTCAGATTATTAAAGGATATATTTGATCCATTTTTTAGGCTAGCTATCAACCAAAGATCATTTTTATTGAACAATTCTTCACCTATAATTAGCTTTCAAGATGTGAAACTATTTCTTTTGTCTTTACAAAGCTAATGTTAGATGTATCCTGAGCTGCTTTTTAATATGTGTCAATAAAGATTGTCTATCCATAGGGGTACCTGCTCTATTGGTAGGTGTAGATATTTTCATTCTGATTATTTTTACTTCAGAGCCCCAAGGCTTTGCAGGAGCATTGAACCTGCCATCAGCACTTCCCTCTGCTCCTTCAATCATCACAGAGCGCTCCAGCTCTAAGGAACTTTCCTTAGAGTCCCTTGTTTCACAAATGAAAAAATTAACACTCAGGGGAATTAGCTGACTTTTCCCTTCCCACATTACATTTGCATGGCTGTTTAATAAAAGAACTAGAACTAAAACTCAGTTCTCTTGCGTTCTATTACACTATTTTTTCTATGCTACAGGGAAATTAAATGTATCTCCTTCCTTTATCTTTCTCCTTCTGTATTTGAATACTTAATTTTCCCTTGGTGAACTGTTGAAAGCAAGTGAAAAATACAGTTCCTTTTCCAAATTAGGAGTGAGAGATCTCAGTCTCTAAGAGATGTTTTTAAGATCAGGCATACATTCTTATTACATTTGAAAGAGAGAACATAATAATAGTAAATTCTCTAATTCAGGCTCCTTCCCACCACACATACTCCTTTTTAGTTTTTAAAGGATGGAAGTGAGTGTGTCACAATCAGGATAATTGTTCAGGTACTTATAATGTATTTTAGATGATAGACATAAAAGCATATACATCCTTTTGAGAGATTCACGTCATATAACTTAGAAGAATTTCAAAGTACATTTCTTTCTTCTTGCATTAAACATTAGCATTTCAAAGGTACAAAAAGCATATTCCACCAGAATGTTTGGCTCCATTATTTTATGCAAAAAAAATCTTAGCTTTATATGGTCTTATTAAGCATATGGAAATATTATGTCAGTCAAGCACTTTACTGAAAATAAAATGATTTCTAAATATAAATATGTACTGTTTTAATGATCATCAAACTCATTCCAAGCATGCATTTCAATTTGTAGCCATATGCATGTTATTTTTAGAGAGCTTTTTAACTCTGAATCATTTTTTGCCTTAACTTATCATTGAAAAAGAAATTTCTAATGGGTGAAATGACATTAATAGTTCCTTTTTCAAAGATTCAAAGAAAAGATAGTGATTAAAAAGTGAAGGCTTTTTAAAAAATTGCTATTTTGTACTTTTCATCACCATATTTCTTTTGGAAAATCACTTCATTTAAAAATTACATCAAATAAAAAGGAATCTAAATACAGAATGATTCCATTAGAAGTCAGGATAGTAGTTCCTCTGGTGGGAGCAATGACTAACCGTGGTCCCAAGGGTACTTTTGGGTGCCAGTGATACTCTACTTCTTTGGGTGCTGGTTATATGGTTGTGTTCAGAACTAAGTGACAGTTACGTGAACATTTCTGTGTGTATATTGTATTTTAGTTCAAAGTGGAAAAAATTATGCTTCCAAAGTCTACGAAACTTGCCCCATCTGACTTAAAAACATAGGACTAATAGTGTCATATACTATTTATACGGATTCCACATGTAAAAGAATAGACTGAAAAATGTGACAGATTGCTTCACTTTTTAAAAATCCGTCCTATTTTCTACCAGAAATTTAGATGTTAAATGAGTAACTCTTTTACCAATTCAAGGGAAAATATGTATAATGTTTAATTATATTTGTCATTAGGGTAAAAACAGGACCTTACTTTTGAGTTTCTGGAATGTGGAATCTTTTTTGTCTTATAGTATATTCTAAACATAATTATACCATCTATAGACCGTCTTTCAATAAAATGAAGTATAACTCACTTCTACGAAAGTGTTCTGCACATTTATTTGTGTGGTTGATAAATACACGTAGATGACTTATTATTTTATCCTGTGACTTGGAAACAAGAAAAAATATTTACTTTACAAATCATCCTTGACAGGTTGCCTCTGCCAGAGCAGACGTTCATGGGCTACTGGACAATTGGTCAGGCAAGAAGTGGAATGCAGAAACTCTTGTGTCCCACAGAAACTCGTCATATAGACGTAAAGGTTGATAACTTCATTATTTCCTCTTTCCTGAATCTTACAAATTTTTCTGTATCTTCCCTGGAGAAAATGTATATAATCGCAGAAATGATTTGTTCTGAAATTATTTTAGCTAATGCTCTACTTTTCAAATCAGCTTAGCTTCTACATAGATAGTTCCTAATGGCCAGATAGAATTGTTAAGAGTTAATGTGTATTTCAGGTGAGTCAGGTATGATATGTATATTTTCCTATGGCAGTTACTCTGTGATATTTTTCTTTACTTCTTGTTTAACAGGAATAAAACTTTGTACTTTTTTAGTCTCTGACCTCTTTTCAGCCACACATTGTTGATAGGTGCCGCCTCAGAGTGAAAAGATAAAGGAAAGGAGTATTAGGCACTATTTGCAGTAGAAATCAGTCGAGGTATTTCAGGCAGGGAGTGATTTACTATAGCAAAGCAGGTGTTTACAAAATCATTAGTAAGGGCTGGAGGAACAGAAGTCAGGGGCAGCCCTGGACTTGTAGTTTCCAGATCAGAGTTTCTGCTTCTGCTGCCGTCCCTGCTGCTGGGGGCTGTACAGTAAAGGAGGGGCAGCACATTTGTTCTCTCTTTTTTTTTTCCCCCCTTTTTTCTTTTTTTGAGACAGAGTCTCACTATGTTGCCCTTGGTAGAGTGCTGTGGTGTCACAGCTCACAGCAACCTCTAACTCTTGGACTTAAGCAATTCTCTTGCCTTATCCTCCCAAGTAGCTGGGACTACAGGTGCCCACCACAACACCCAGCTATTTTTTGGTTGCAGTTGTCATTGTCTGGCAGGCCCAGGGCAGATTTGAGCCAGCCAGCCCCGGTGTAGTGGCTGGCGCCCTAACCACTGAGCTATGGGCGCCAAACCACACACTTTTTCTCTAAAAGACCAAGCAGTAAATATTTGAGGCTTTGCAGTCATATAGATTCCTTCACAAATACTTGGCCCTGCCATCATGCCACAGAAGCAGCCCTGGCAATACATAAACAAATGGGTATGGCTGTGTTTCTATGAAATATTATTTACGAAAACTGGCAGAGGGTAAGACATTGCCTGTAGGCCATGTCAGCTCCTTCAACATAGCATAAAATCTGACTGCTAACTCATATCAGTTAGCACCTCCTTGTCTGCTATCACTGCACAAAGCTGGTCACTACCTCTCGTCTGTCTTCCAAACCACGCAAGTGCATTTGCTTGGCAGAAGCTACACTTCCAGAACCCTTCCCAGGGAAATGTGAGACATGCAGTTTAGTCTTCCAGCCCCTGAGATGTAGTCTGGGTAGTGGGGACATGGGTACCAGTGTCTAACCCAAACATTTTGATTAAGGACTGTAGGGCATGAAAATCATTGAAAATATATTCACAATATAGCATTTTTTTCTGGAAGTTGTATCTAAGTATCTAGAAATAATATCTATAACATTATTAAATTAGCTCCTCTGCTTATGTTTTATTGAATAATTATTGCCATGTGTTAAATACTGCAACTTTCTTAAGTAACACTAGTTGTTATCAGTAAATTTGGTTTTGTTCTATTTCAAATGTCATTTTTTAATACTTAATTTAAAAGACACAGGTTCTTCAGCCATTAAATTTCTATATAAGGATGTAAGAATAATTCTTCACAACAGAAATATATCAGGCTCTGGTTCATTCTCTTACAAATTATTCTCCTGGTTTGGACAGCTCTGGGTCTACGTACTTGGAGTTGAAAACTAGCTCTTGGCTTAGAAAGGAATAAAGTAATGAGAAGTCCTGTGGGATTTCACATCTGGTAAATTTTGTAAGTAAATAGAAAAAGTGAGAAATAAGATGCCACAGATGAAAGACTGTATAAATGCAAGTACATGGTATCATTATGGTTATAAGTACTATCTATGTCAGTCAGTAAACTGGGTCTATTAAATACTTGAATACTTTAATATATATTTTGGAAGAACAGTAGCTTTTCTATGCTTTGGTGACTACCCAAATTTCTTAACTCAGATGACTGCTTCATCATAGGGTCCAGTACTTATAAACATACAGGAATATCCAATAGAAAGACATGAAGAAAGATCTCTAAACTTTTCTGAAGAATGTGCCTCCTGGAAGTTACCATTGGATGAAATTAATTTAATCTGTGACATTGCTACATCACATGGTATGTCAGTTTATTCTTTTGATCTTTCTTTCCTGCATTGATTTTTTTTTAAGGAGTTAACCTCCAGACATCAAAAAGTCTATGACAGACTTGGTGCATGTCTTTTTTGGATTGGATAGCAATTATACACGTATGTAATTTAAAACTAATTTCCTCTAACAACCTAACACAATAGTGGAATCCACATAAGCCTGCTGAGTTAGTGTGCATATGTCTGTTTCTCATTAAATTGTAGCACAGAGTTAAACACACCCAGGCATGTGCTAAAAATAGAAGGGAAAACGAAAAAGAAGAAATGTAGGACTTTTTTTTTTTGGCTAAGATTCCACTTTGGTGATTACATGAACCATAAAAAGTTGGATTGGAATGATTTGCAATCATTAAACATCTCATTGTAAAGAATTGCAAATAAGGGATATGAATTTTTGAAATCTACATTTCTGGACTGTTGCTGGTGCTGACTAATACATACAGTGCTTGGGTACCTTTTACATAAGTTCTTCAATTGGTGTGAGGTATTTAGATGATATAAACAGAACTGGTGGCTGGAGGAAAGGAGTCTTTAATTTGATTAAAATGGAAATTGTTGAGGCAAATATCAGTATCTGGTTTGTGCCTGTAAATTCACTGGATATTATTTTTCCCCAAATCTGCTATTTTAAATAAAAATATGTGCTGTTAAGAATGTACATGGTTGGGGCGGTGCCTGTGGCTCAAAGGAGTAGGGTGCTGGCCCCACATGCCAGAGGTGGCGGGTTCAAACCCAACCCCAGCCAAAAACTGACAAAAAAAAAATAAAAAATAAAAAAGTACATGGTTGGGTTTTATTTATGTTTAAACCAAAGACTAAACAGTTCTTAATGCCTATAATAAGAGAGAACAATTAATAAATTATTAAGCACATTTCTGTGAATACTTTTACCATATTCCTAGTCCCCTGTACTATGCAAGAAGGTGCTCTCAATACATGTTGAATTGAGCTCATTTGTGTTGATAATGGAAGCATTTAAAAAGATCCATAAATTATAAATTCTGTGATTGTATCTGCTATTTAGAGCTATAACACAAAATTTGCATTGTTTTCTAAATAATATGTGTCTTCAGCTTTTTGTTGACTTACGTTTCTTACCAACGTTAGTTTATTTATTTAAATTTACTGTATCAGTATATATAATATGAATAATGTATGTATATGTAATATTGTCTGTATAGAATATTGTAGACATGGCACACACTCACACAGACATATACATATGCACAAGTGTTCCAGATTTTCCAGAATAGTCTCAAAAATGTGTCATATCTTATGTCTTAATTGGGAGGTCAGAAAATATGACCACTGTGAGACAGATACCTGGGTGATGGATGGTACTGACAGTGTTTACTACAGAAAAGCAGCTTCATCTCCTGCCTCAAATGTGCTAACATAAGAGATGATGAGAAACTTGGTTCAGAGCCTGACTACTCCAGGGGAGGACCTGAAGCCAGCAGCATTGGCATCTTGGGAGTTTGTTGGAAAGACGGAATCTGAAACCCCACCCTAGACTCCCTGCATCAGAGTGTGCATTTTTATTAGGTCACTCATAGGCACTTAAAAATTGAAAAGACACTGGCACAGAGTTCAGAAAATGGACTTATGCAGGTATCCAGATTGAAAAGTATTTCTTATTTATAATAAGAAATACTCAAATATGAGCCCAAGTTTAGAAAAAAAGATCCATAAAGCTAAGATTTAAGAAAATGGAATTACTTAACTGTCTAGAAAATGCCAGATTAGCAAACAGATGATACTGGCTGACCAACTATTGTCCATCTGTACCAGGGGTCCTCAAACTTTTTAAACAGGCGGCCAGTTCACTGTCCCTCAGACTGTTGGAGGGCTGGACTGCGGGCCCCGGGACAAGTCGGCTGCTGAGCAGGACAGGCAGTGGTGGCAAAAACACCCAGCAGGCTGGATAAATGTCCTAGGCAGGCCACATGTGGCCTGCGGGCCGTAGTTTGAGGATGCCAACAAGAGAACCAACAAGAGAACAGGAGAAGGCAGATCTTCACTGGAGCACAAAGGATTTTGCTGTCTTACAAGGAAGAATTTTCTCACATTGAGAATTGTTAGATATGTATTTAATGGTGTTAGCTCAAGAATATTGTGGCATTCTTACAGGAACAAATAGATAATTAATTTTCTCAAGTAGATGGATGCGTCCCTATCTATATTTCGGGTGAGAACTAAGTTGCTTCTCCTGGTCGGTCCATCTACAAACCATGTACTGAGTTCCGACTGGGTGCTCAACATCATGATTCAGTGAAGCCAAAGACTAAACAGTTCTTAATACCTGTAATAAGAGAGAACAATTAACTCAGAAAACTGGTTCAAACTACAAAATGAACACCTTTTTGTCATTTCAGAAAATGAAGAAAATACTATATATGTAGTTACATGTAATCCTGTTTGCTTATACTTTATGAATATGACTGGTAAAAGTGGCTACTTTGTGGACCTTTTTGACATCTTCCCAAGAACAGCTAGTGGAGTCTGGCACCCATTTGTGACAGTGGCACCACTGGAAAGTCCCCTCAAGGGTCAAGTGATTCTCCATGAGCAGCAGGTAAGGCACACTAGGGTATTCACAGGCTATAGTTGTGTGAAGAGTAACTTACATGAATGAATAGGCAAGGGTGATTAGCAACCTAGGATTGAAAGTATGTGGTTTCTTTTTTTTTTTGAGACAGAGTCTTACTATGGCACACTAGGTTAAGTGCTGTGCCATCGTAGCTCACAGCAACCTCAAACTCTTAGGCTTAAGCAATTCTCTTGCCTCAGCTGGGACTACAGGCACCTGCCACAACACCTGGCTATTTTTTGTGGCAGTTGTCATTGTTGTTTAGCAGACCCTGGCCGGTTTCAAACCCGCCAGCCTTGGTGTATGTGGCTGGCACTGTAACTAACCACTGTTCTACAGGTGCTGAGCCAAAGTTACCACAAAGTTAATCTGTACCACAAAGGCTAAATCTTCCTTCCTGCAGAATGTCAACATGACCTATAAGTCTGGAAACAGGTAAGTCAGGGTTCCTCAACCCCAAACTATTGACATTTGCAGCCAGAGGATTCTTTATTGTGAAGCTAGTACTCTCTTTGGGAAGATAGACAATAAATATGTAAACCAACAAATCGACACACCAATTTCCAATAGTGACAAGGGTTTGATGGTATCTGTGTCTGAGGAAGCAATGGGGTTGGGGTAGGAGGACTTGGGAAAGTGAGTAGCATTAAAAAGTGTACTGAGATATCCCATCTTAGGAGATGACATTTTATCTGAGACCTGAATGACATTTTTGACGTAGTGATAGCCAGGCAGATATGGTGAATGACGTAACACGGAGATCCATTAGTATCTAATCGTGTTCAAGTTTCATCCATTGCTAGGATGGATTAGTGCACTAAGATTGCACTAATGGAAAGTCCAGATGCTCAGAGTCAGGCTAAAAATAATTCCAAACAGAAGATGCAGATCAAAAGACAAGCTGTGTTTCAATTACTGTGTTTCCCCGAAAATAAGACCTACCCAAAAAAATAAGCCAAGGATTATAAAAATAAGCCAATAAGCAGGATTTCTATGCATTTGTTAAATATAAGCCCTACACCAATAAGACCTAGTGATGGGTACATGATATGCTGCATAGCCACGCCATGCATTTCAGCAGAGAGAGGAAGACACTCCCTGAAATTA